ATTAATTTATAATAAATTAACTAATATAATAACATATAAATTTATATCACTAACATAAAATTTGGTTTTAACTAATTTATATATAAATATATAAATTTCACTAAAGGTATCATTAACTTGAACCGTTCCAATTTTTAATACCTAATATTTAATTATATAATTAAACGTATCTTTATACAAATGTTTTTGTTTGATTAATCTTTAACTAAAATCGATTTTATATTTTAATTTTAAAATTTTATAATATAATGATATTATTTTTAAAAGCCAAAATCAATTTTATATAAAATTAAGATCTATAAGCATTATCATATTGTTACAATATTATATTCAGATAATAATAATATATATAAGAATTATCTTTTTTATTTTTTTATAAACTTATTATATTAATTATTCTTTATTATCTAAGATAATAACATACTATACTTATCTAATTTTATTTTTCAAATTTCGTTTTTAATTATAAAAATAGTTATATATAAAAATTTCATTAAGGGTAAAATAGATATTAACCACTCTAACTTTTAACGTGAGAGCTCCGTTGCAAAAAATCACTTCGCAAATAATAGTATAGATTACTTACATAAACTGTGGTTTGTTAATAAGAGAACCGGTTTGATTGAGATTTACAGTTTCTATAAGTCGATATTATATGACCAAGAAGTCGTCTTCTTCAACTGATAAAAAGAATGAAGATAAAAAAAAAAACACAGATGGTTGATATATCTTTTTTATACAGATTCATGTTATAAGTTGATCCGTATAGACAGGAACTAATACTGATTTGAAGTTATACAAAAGTACATGACATGGTCAATAGGTAATGAGACATGAACTGAGTTAGAAACATATATGCTTGAATCACTTTTGTAGAAGAAAATCTGTACGCATTTAGAAGGAACTCTACATGATCTGAAGTTATACAAACGTATGTAGTGTTATTAGTCTTGTTGATGATGGTTGGCAAGTATGTAGTCTTTATTGAAAGTACAGTTTAAAATATGATGATAACTGCTTTATATACTAGTTGCATATTCTCCGCGCAACCGCGGGGCCGGGATAATTATGTTTGCATGTATTTTTTTCGATTATTGGTTTAGTGGATTTTTCTGATGACATCAATTAATAATGAAATGGAAAATTTCATGTTTTTATATCGTATGTCAAAACTTGATATAATTCTATATTTATAGTATTTATATTTGTATTAAACGATTTATCAATATGAAAATAACCTTAATTAAGTTAATATTCGATGTTTAAGTTTCATTAGATAGGTTTTTATATATGGTCTTTTTGTAAGTTTCGGTTTTGTTCATAAATGATGTGACATTTTTATCTACGGAGTCATCAACTGTGGGAATTCATTCGCCGAAGTCTGGAGTCGGTGGTGAGAATTGTTTTTAATGAAATTATAGTAGTTATTAAAAGGTAAGAGAAATTACATATTCATTTAATAAATAACTTACTTAAATTTTGTTGTTTATTTTATTTTATTTCACATACAATTTTTTTGAAAAATATTAGGAATGTGTTAAATGTTATTTATATGCGAAGTAAGGTTTATAGGAATAGTTAGGCTATAATATAGTTTTTAGTGTGTAAAAGTATGTGTGTTTTTTTTTACTGTAAATAGTTTTTATATCGTAGATCAAAACTTGATATGATTCTATATTTATAGTATTTATATTTGTATTAAACGATTTATCAATTTGAAAATAACCTTAATTAATTTAATATTCGTTGTTTAAGTTTCATTAGATAGGCTTTTATATATGGTTTTTTGTAAGTTTGAGTTTTGTTCATAAATGATGTGGCATTTTTATCTACGGCGTCATCGACTGTGGGAATCTATTCGCCGGAGTCTGGAATCGGTGGTGAGGAATGTTTTCAAGGAAATTATAGTAGTTATTAAAATGTAAGAGAAATTATATATTCATTTAATAAATAACGAAAATAATTATTTTTTGTTGTTTTGTTTTGTTTTATCTCACATACAAATTTTTTGAAAATATATATTAGGAAATATGTGCAATGATTTAACTTTTTGAGCTCCTAATCTATATTATTCAATCCTCATTAAGCCATCCACGTATGCACCCGCGTGGAATTCACTTTTTGTTTTGTTTTTTTTGTTTGTTCGTTTTTGGATTTATTTTTTTATTTTTGGGTTGAACTATATTATAATAGGATAGTTTTAAGGTTCTTTAAGCCATCCGCGTAGGCAACCACGTGAGACTTGTTTTTTTTTGCTTTATTATTCGTTTTGGATTCATTTTTAACTATTTTGGGTTTGAACTTGTTAAGGTTTAGGGTTTATACAACTATTTTGATCTTTAAAACAATAAGCCAAAAAAAAAACATAAGAACCTTATAAACAAAAAGCCCATATGATAATAACCTAAATAAAAAAATCAAAAATACATGATAGCTTTGTGGTTTGAACCCACAATCTTGCATACTTAATTAAACACCTTATACCACTTGGCTAAAGTGTATTTCATTGTTTGTTACCATCTTACCAAGACTATGTGTGTTTAAAAAATATTTTTATGATGATGACATTAATTGGTTTATGCATGAGAGCAGTGGGAATTGAACTCATGTCCTTGCAGACCAAACATGGGGTCTTAAACCACTTGGCTAAACTGATATTTTTTGTTTGTACCCATTTTAAAAAAAACTATCTATTTTAATATAAAAATGTGGGACCCACAATCTGCCTATGTGGACACCTTAAGGAGTCTTTAAACTGTATCATTATAATATAGATTTGATGTAATCGTGGTATTATTTGATATGTTATAAAAGGTTGGTTTTTTTATAGTGAAGATAAAGTATAATAGGTAAAATCTATACTATTATATGAGAAGTAAAATTGCTTAGTTGTCATGTTCTCCATAAATTTAGGTAATTTATTTATTTATCATATTTATATATATTTTATTTATAAATAAAACGAATTTATATGAATATATCAAATTTTTAGTAAATAAGATAATTCTTGTGAATTATGTTGTTATCTTGAAATCTTAAATGTTAAATTAAGATATAAACACTATTATATTTATCTAAAACGAATTTATATTAATAAATTAATATTTAAATATAATTAAAACGAATTTATATTAATAATTTAATATTTTTCTAAAATAAGATAATCATTAAGGATTATGTTGTTATGTTGAAAATATATTTTCCTATTATAAAACTTAAAATTAAGATATAAAATTATATTATTAATAATTAAATATAAATCATCAAAACAATTATTTGAAAAGTGAATTTGTTGATTTGTCTCCATGATCCTAGGTAATTTTGATCATTTATGAGAATTTCTATAATTTTGTTTATATTGATTATAAAATTAAAACAAATTTATATTAATAATATGATATATTAGAAAAATAATTTAATTCTTATGTATTATGCTGTTATCTTGGAAAAAAAATTCTATTATAAAATTTAAAATTAACATGTAAGAATCTATAATATTATTTAAGAAGTGAATTTGATGTTTGCTGATTTGTCATATTTTCCATGATTTTAGGTAATTTTGATAATTTATCAATTTATATAATTTATTATATATTTAAAACAAATTTACATTAATAGTATCAGATTATTAGAAAATAAAATACTTCTTATGTATTAAGTTGCTGTCTTGAAAATATATTTTTCTATTAGAATTTTAAAATTAAGATATAAAAATTTATAGTTATTCTATAATTGAAATAAATTTACAGTAATAATATTATACTTTTAGAGAATATTGTAATTCTTATGTATTATGTTGTTATCCTGAAAATATATTTTTATATTATACAATTTAAAAGTAAAATAAAAAATTATCTATTATTAATTAAATATAAATTATAACACAAGAAAAATTATTAAAGAAGTGAATTTACTGATATTATTAAGTTCTCAATGATTTTAGGTAATTTTAATTATATGTCATAACTATATAATTATTATATAGTTAAAAATTTATCATATTGATATCTTGAAAATATTTTTTTCTAATATAAAATTCAATGTTAAGATATAAATATTATAATTAAATATAAATCAAGAAAAAATAGCTATAGAAATATATTCTTTTAAATATTTCTGATGTTTAAGTTTTGTCATTAATAATTATTTGATGTCTGATTTTTTACTTTTTGAAAACATAAATAATAACTTACTATGCTGATTTTTAAATTTATGAAATATTAATTAATAAATATTCATAAGAGAATTATGCCCGCAAGTGCGGGTAAAACACCTAATATATTTTTAATTTGTAAGGCAACTAACTAAATGGTCCAACTAAGACTTATTTATAGTAAATTAAAAAGTGACTCTATTTTAATGGAGTAGATAATAAGAGTGACCGCCACAAAAATTACATTATGTTAGTCGGTTTAAGTGTGATGATCATACAGAGAGGTTTAGGTTATATTTATTAAAATAAAACAACAATTTAAAAAGTCAACCGGTAATGAATGATGACTATCATGACTTCTCTAACGGAGTTAGTCTTCGGTCCGAAGACCTCTCTAGACACCTTCACCATATCAAGAATCATAGACCATCTCTCACCACCGATTGACAATTAACTGAATAACTTACACCTTATATATACCCGATGCCTCCTTCGATTATTACCGATGCGGGATGGTGTAATAACTACTGAGCCCATTTATTTAGAAGACCACAAGGTGAGCCCATTACTTTTGTAAATAGGCCCACTTACGAAGAAAACAAGACGTTTTAACAGAGATCTACAGAGTTTACAATTTTGTTCTCTTGTTACGCAAAGTGCCGAGTTACATCATGGGTGAAAAGATATCTCTGGCCAAACATACTTTTTTTTTTTTTTAACACTGCATAAGTTATATATAGAATAACAATAGCAAAGTTATCTGTTTCAAAATAAATACCAAAATAAATAAGTTTTCTACAGGTACCACCAAAAGGATTACAAAACATCAAAAGAGAGAGTTTAACATTTAAGCAGAGAGTTTGATCTTCTTAGTTGCTGGCTCATCTTCGTGAACCTCAGATTCTTCTTCTTCCTCCTCTTCGTCTTCCTCTTCCTCTTCTTCCTCTTGGTCCTCTTCTTCTTCTTCAGATTCTGTGTTTCCTCCTACTTCAACAGAATTTTCAGAGTTGGTTTCATCTGCTTTCTCCTCCAACTCTTTCTTCTTCTTCACCTCCTCTATCACATCCATCAATTCTCTATTCACCTGTTTTACCACACACATTTTAAAGTTAGCACAAGTACTTTAATCAGAATGTGCTCATCAAACACATCTCAAAATCACCATTTGGATTTACAAGTTTCATATTATGTACAAACTCTTCCTACACAATCACAATACAAACTGAAATTTATCTGAGATCCTAAGCTTTTGCTTCACATAAGCAACACAGGAAGAAGAGATTATGTTATCTGACCTGTGGGTTCTGCATGAAGTCAGAGAGGTCAGCTGGGCAGCAAGGGCATTTCATGACGTTCTTCTGAGCACGTAGAGTTCTCCCACCTCTGCTTCTCTCCCTCACTTGTGTTATCCCAGCAAATTTGCCTGTTAAGCATTCCTTGCAGAAGTGGTGAGCGCAAGGCGTTGTCACAGGAAAACTCATCACTTGCCGACAGATTTGGCAACCAAACTCTGTTTCAAAACAAAGCAAGACATTTCAAATGTGAGCGTACATACTTTCTTTCTAACATCAATAGCATTGAAACGGGCATGCACATGCCTTTGAGATACTGGTCATTTTTGTTTCCTTTCATGGCTTTCCTCGCGCTCTTCCTATCTTCAGGATTCAAAGCATCAATTGCCTTTCTGCTAGCAGGTGGAGACTTCATCCACTTCCAACGACCATCAGCTTCCTGTTTAGAGTAAATGTATTAGTGTTACAGACTAATGATGGGCTTTGGTAGCTAAGTTATGTACAAGAATGAAGAAAACAGAGAATGTGCTTACATCAAAATCCCATGATGGGCTATCCTTTCTCACAAACATATCAGTAGCCTTCTTAATCTCTGGAATAGTAGGCAAAGGTCGTGGACGATCACCATGCTCATCACTGCAGTATTACTCAACGTTGAGCATAACTAGAAAATACAGAAAAAGGAGATTTAGCAAAAAAGAACTAGATCAAAAACCTGGTCCATGGGGCTGGTTCGTTGTCACATCTGACAAAAAGGTAACGACAGACCTTAAAGCCCTATAGAAAACACAAAAGATTAAGTCAAGAAAAAACAACCCAGCACTGCATATAAGTGAGCAATTAGGATTCTTAGCCATAACCAAACAAACCTGTACACCAACTTTTCTCCAGCACTTCTCAATCCTGTAAATGCCATCATATCTGACACTCTTTTCAGCAGGAGCATATGCAGAACGTTTCTCCTTGTGAGACCTGATCATTATAAGAAACTGAACCAATAAGAAAACTTTCTGCACATAGTTTCATTGACAACAAAAGTAAGAAAGACTAACCTGACAACTCTTACAGGATAACCCATCTTGCAGCTAAGCCTCAGAGCTTCATTAGACTTCGTAAATTTTTGATCAAACGCTTGATTTTTATTAGTTCTCTTGTTCCCTGTCAAGTCTCTCCCTCCACTAGAAGACAAACATTAACAACATTACTTCAACACAAAGTTTAAAAAAAAGGATTAATCAAAATGAATCAAAGGATAATAGTAATGTGAAGGCAGACCTTCCAGTGTAGAGGAACCATTCACCATGGTCCTCATCATCCTTGTAGCCTCCCGAGAGTGCTACAGACTGAGCTCCATGAGTTGATTGCCCACAAATGCCTGCAACATGAGGGAAGTGTGCTCCCCACTGCCGACACTCTTGTCTGTCTTCCCAAGCTTCTCCGACCAAGACACCTTGATTTCTTTTAGGATCATTCTCGGCCGAAATGGGACCAAAGTGGTCAGATGGCACTGTGACATGTATCCTCCCACTGCAGGCATTAGCCTTACCTGTCTTTTTGGCCCTTTTGGTTGTAAATGCCTTCTCAGGGCGGTCAGAGTTCCTAATGAACTGGTAGGTCTTTGTGGTTGAGACATTAGTGGATTTGGAGATCATTGCAAGACGGATTGATGAGACCAGAATGGAGTTGATTCTAGGGTTGTCTACCACCTTCTTAGGAATTTCAGCTCTACATGTCACACATGTTGGCTTCCTTTTACCAACAACCCATTTCTGGAAACACTTGAGACAGAAATTGTGGCCGCATGGTGTCTGCATCATACGTTCCATAAAAAAAAAAAGCCATTAGCACTATTTTGAATGAAGCATCATACGAACAAAAGCGACATAACCAAAATACCATGCGAGCTACTCTTAATATCTACGAATTAAAGACATTAATTACAGCACAAAACGAAGATTCAGACAAGAAGACAACTTTTTCAGTACTAAAGAACCAAAACTACACAAATCAAGTAAAGAAAAGTAGAACTAACCACTAGATGGCATAAAAATTCTTGATCAGTACCAGAGAAAACTAGTCAACATTTGGATAAAAGGTAAATAAGTGATGATATAATGACAAGCAGAAATCAATAACCAAGTTAATAAAACAAAACATCTCATAATAGCACTAACCAAAACAAGACAAAAAAACAACCAATAATAGTGTTAACACAATTTTCCACAAATGGTATGCAGAGACTCTACTAACTGCAACAGTGATTAAACAAAATCTAAAATGATTTCAAGAGTGTTTGTTTGTATGTTTGAATGTACCGAGATGGGTCTCTCAGGCAACTGGAGGCAGATTGAGCAACTGATTTTCTTACGAAGCGCTTCCAGAAAACCTGAGTCTTCTTCTTTCTTGTCTTCCTCCTCCTCCTCCTCCGCAGCTGCTTTCCCGCTCATCAACTGCTGCCTCTTCTTCGCTTTCTGCGCCTCCGTAAGAGACGAATCCGCCTCAATCGCGTGGATCGCCGCCACGAGACCACTACTCGAACCGGAAACAGGAGCCGAATCGACGACATCGCCGGAGCAATCGGGACACTCCCACGACTGAGTCGAAGCTAGGGTTTCGGGAGGGGAACGGAGACACGCCACGTGCCACGGCGTCACGCACGTGCTGCACGTGAGACACTCTTCCGACGGGATCTTGACTTTGCAGCGCATGCATACGTCATCGGCGTCGCACGGAAGTTGAATTTCACGATCCATTATCTCGCAGACTCGTAAGAGAGAGAGAGAGAGGGCGAGTGGTGTGTGATTTCGAGATCTGATGATGGAAACGAGGTTATAACTAGAGAGAGAGAGAGAGGAGGGAGGCGAAAAATTTTGGAGAGGCGCCTTTCGAAATTCTTTTGGAGCGTCTTTTTCGTTTTCGAAAAAAAAAAAATCTAAATAGAGAAATTAGAATAAAAATCTCTAATTTGGATAAGATCTAAACAAATGGCAACTGTATATTCTTTACTGCTTAAATTGGCTTTATGATATATATCTCCAAAACTAGGTAAGAGAAATATTAAATCAAAATGAAATCTAAAAGCGTATCTTTTGTTTTAATGTAGAAGATATACTTTTCTAAATTTGATTTATGATTGTTTGTTTTTAGAACTTTAACTGGTCAACATGTAGATAACTTCCCATCTATAGTGAAACTTGAAATTTATGATATACAAAAACAAACTAGATGATGTAGTTAATGGGGACCGTAGTTAATGTGAAACTACTACTGAAGAGTGAAGATTATCTGTAAAATAAATTTGAAGGATATTATATGAATTTTTTTTTAATTATAAATTTGCAGCCTATCTTTTCAATCAAATCGTGTATGGAATAGGGTGTTGTGTGCCATCAAATCGTATTAATGAAGGAAATTAGTCTTTTGGCTCGATGTAATTTCGTCATGATTCCCTATGTGCTACTCTATTCACTTCATATTAAGGTTTATTTGTCAAATAAACTAAAAAATAATAATTAAATTTTTAGTGAAAAATTAGAGAGAAAATGAAAGATAAATGAAGAGAGAGTATGTGTTTTTAGTTAAATAGTGTATTTAAAATTTTTAATGCTATAAAAGTAAACTTTCCTTTATATTAACAAGATAAACCATATTATAGTTTTAAGTTGTTCCAAATTGAATTTTTTATCGAATATTTTGGACGGAATCCTCCTATTAGAATTTTTAATCATATATACTAATATAATAGTTAAATCTTTTAATATAGTGAAATATTATATTTTTTGAAAAAAGATCCGGATGTAAATATCTTTAACTGTTTTAGACATTGAACTTATTGTAGCAGAAAATTGGGAAGACGCTCTATTTCCCCCGAGAAACATCATATATCATCAGATCCACACATATTTTGGCTCTCGTTCTATTTCCACACAATTATTATGTTTAAATCTCCTTTCTCTCTAGAAACCAAAGTTTGAAGTCTCTATCTCCATATCATCGAAGTTAATGACGGAAATACACATAAGCTTAGATTAAACTCGGTTTACTATTTATATTAAACCATAACTCATTATTACCCAACTATAAACCAAAGTTATCCACCTAAAATCTGATTATACTTGAATTAAACCGGATTAAGACCCAATTGTTAATTGGTTAACTCGAATATAAGAAAAATCCCCAAATCCCCAATTGTTTTAGCAAACGTAAACCATAATTTTTCTTCAGAAAACAAACGAAAAAAGAAGCCGGCGATTTCTAGGATTTTGACTGATTGGTTGTCGGAATCATGTCTACAGGCGGTGAGAACTCGAATCCCTCACTTAGGGACGAATCAGACGACGAAGAAGAGATGGAGAGAAACATGTTTCGGGTGGAAGAAGATGTAGCCGCCTTCACAGATGAACCTCTCATCCGTCACAATATATCACTACAAGAAAACATCTGGTTAACGTCGCCGATATATGTCGCTGATTCGACGCTATTCATGTTTAACGTCACAGTAGCAACAGTTACAGAAAACGTTGTTAATCGCATGTCGCTATTTTTGGATGTCGTTTAGACGTGGTTAATTAGCGACATATTTTCAAAATGTGTTTAAAACGACGCTTAGTCGCGACACCGTGCCATCGTTTCTTGAAGTCACTATATCACAATGGATTATGGAGTCGCTAATAAACGTCGTTTACGTATGACGCTATTTCACGACAGTGATGCAGATGACAATGTTGATGATGAAGAGCATCAAATAGCGCGACAGAGGACAAGAGATCGTTATCGAGTTAGAAGAGGTGATGTAAATCTGTTTGAGGGACAAGTAATCTTCAAAGGAGTTGCATTCAAAGAGGTTGTATTAGACTACGTTCTAAAGACATGGTACAACATTCAACAGTATAGGTATGACAAAACCAAAATTGGTTTTTGTTGTGCTGGTCGGAACGTAGATTCACAGTGTCAGTGGCGTGTTTACTGCTCAAGTAAAGGAGACCCAGTTAGATGGTATGTTAAAGTGTACTAGAATGTACATAGCTGTGTTCCAAATGGAGAATGCGAGATGATGAAGATTCATGTGATAGCTAGGGCTGTTTGTTGATACGATAAGAGAAGAGCCAAATTATTTCATGACGAAGAAAATAGAAGAATTGATCAAGGAAAGGTGGAAGATCATGGTTTCTATATCACAATGTCAATCTCTCATTATTTCACGAGTACTTAACGAGGAAAAAAACGCAGGCCTGGTTAATTTCTCTTTAAGTTAACGGTTATTTTACGAGGAAAAAAATGCGAACCTAGTTAATTCCTCGTAAGATTACGAGTAGTTTACGAAAAAATATAATTCCCTATATAAGCTCGAGCCATCCCACTTATCTCATTCGTATCAACTTTCTCTCTATCTCGTCTCAAGGTATTCCTCTCTACTTCCTCTCTAGATAGTTCCCGTAGTGTTATGTTTAAGTATAATTTTCGCAAGTTCCACTACCTCTACTCCTGACCAATTGACAAAAGGATAACACTGTTACTGTTCGTGTCACTTAATCTCATACCATGCTGTCGTTTAGATTGTTAGTAGTAGAAAAGTTTGCCGTTTTTTTTTTTTTTTTTTGGCTCAACAACAACTTAATATTATTCCAAAATCATTGTCTTACAAATGGCTTCTCAGCCTCTACACAAGAACTCAACCACATAGGCACCATAGAATAAAGCTTAGGGACAAAGGACGTAAACGTAGAAGTCTCCTTCGCTATTCTATCTGCTGACTTATTACCACTCCGGTGATAAAAACTGCACACTAAACCCTGCATTTACCGACAGTGAGTTGGATATGTCCTGCACGATGGGTGTGAGTACCGGCCAGACCTCCTCCTCCTTATTTAGCATTCTCGCCAATATTAAGGAGTCTGTTTCGAAGACCACTCTCTGATACCCAAAGCCTGCAATAGTTTGTACAGCCCATCGTAGTGCTTCTGCCTCCGCTTCTACTTCGGAGCTCAACCCTGCCATCTTCCTCGCACCTGCCCATACCAGCAGCCCTTGGTGATTCCGCATTAGCCATCCAACTCCTCCCTCACCTGTTGCCTGTGACCACGCTCCATCAGAATTACACTTCAAGGTCATAGTATCAGGTGGAGACCACTTCACTTCAGGCGTGCTTGCTGCCGGGTGTTTAGCCTCGTCATTTTTAACCTCAACTCTGCTCTTCCATTCGTTGGCATCCTCCCACACCTTCCTCACCGTTGTTGGAGCGTCATAGTCTTTGCCCCTAAAGACAAATTCATTTCTGTTTTTCCACAATCTCCACAACAGCCATGGTATAACTTCCTCATCAACATCCTCTCTTGGGTACTCTTTTTTTTTAAATTTTGAGACCCAATAAAGATTAGCATAGAAAGAATCTGACCATCGCCCAGGTGGGGGAATGTGGATGTTTGCCGATGCCCAAATCAAGCGAGCATAATGACATGTGAAGAGGAGATGGTTCATGCTCTCTGCCACATCTCCACATCTGCTACAAGTGTTACTCTTAGCAATGTGTCTATGGGCCATATTCTCCGCTACCGGCAGTGCATTACTTAAGCATCTCCAAAGAAAATGCTTGATTTTTGGGCTAATTTCCAAACTCCACACCTGCTGGTAGAAGCTGTCCAAGCTCGGCTGAACTACCTCTTGATCCTCCTTACATGTAGCGATGATGTTTGTTTGGACCCAATAGCCGGATTTGACGGTGTAGTGGCTTGTCTTGGTAAACTCCCATGAATATGTATCTTTACTATGAGCTCCAGCCGGCCTGATACGCCTAATTTTCTCTTGCACCTCTGTAGTAAAGAGTCTACTTATCATCGCCTGATTCCAATCTCTTCCATTCTCCTCAATCAGGTCACTAACTCTCATATCTTCCGATAAAGCATAACCCTGTTGATTAATTGGTCTCCTCACCGCTTGAACCATGTTGGCTGGTGCTGCTCCAATCCAGCGGTCGAACCAGATTCTCGTGTCTTTGCCATTTCCAATCACCACTCTTGCTCCATATTGGATTAAGCGCTGAGCAGCATGAATACTTCTCCAAGCGTACGAGGGCCTGGAGCCGAGGGAAGCATTGAGAGGATCTGAATTCCTAAAGTACCTGCTCTTGAAGACGCGTGCCATAAGGGAAGTAGGATTCTTCACCATTCGCCACAGCTGCTTCCCTAGTAAAGCCAGATTATATGCCTCTAAATCCTTGAATCCTAACCCTCCACACACTTTCGGTTTACAAAGGCTCTCCCAGCTTTTCCAATGCATTCCCTTTGAATCTTGTCCATTCCTCCACCAAAAGTCCGACATTATCGCCATGATCTGTTTAGTTATGGTCTTAGGGAGTAGAAAACAAGCCATTGTGTATGTGGGTAGTGCCATAGCCACTGCCTTCAATAGGATCTCCTTACCTCCCAGAGAGAGAAATTTGGTTTGCCATCCATGGACTCTGCGGTTTAGATTCTCCTTTAGATAGCTGAGTATTGAAACTTTAGAGCCTCTAAAAGCTTCAGGAAGCCCTAAATAAAACCCTTCTCCCCCAGTGGCGTCAATACCCAGCTTGAGCTTTATCTCATCTCTTCTATCAAAGTGTATATGCTTCCCAAAATATATGCTCGATTTAAGCTTATTCACCCGCTGGCCTGAAGCCATACTATAGTTCTGAAGAATCTGGAGAATCTGATCCAATTCCTCTTCTGATCCCTTGCAGTAAAACATACTATTATCGGCAAACAGTAAATGGGAT